CGATTCACTATCCTTGTTCTATATTTTTCTCTTTCTGTTATCGTTATAGTCTTTTGTCATCTTCTATATACTATACCTAGTGCGCATACTAAAAGAAACATTATATACAATAAGAACGAAATTCATTGTTTTTCTTTATTCTATATTTTTCGTTTAGTTTAGTGTAAACTTTATTCATTTAAGAAAGAGAAATAAGAATTTTACACAGATGCGGTCTAGACCATTATATTATTAGAAAATGACCTATCAAATGATATAAGCGATTACGGATAAAACGTTTCTCTCCTTCATCTTAAAGTGTCTAGTAGATATACAAAAAAAACTGTTAGTTAGTTTCTTTTCATTAAGAGATCATTCTGACCTTCAGTGTGATCAGTATTTATCTTCGTCTCCTCTCTATTTTCATTCTCCACACAAAAACGTCTTTCCCTGCAGGGAATATACAGGTAAAATCTTCCCCTTCAGGGAGTGCAGGCAGAAAAACATTCTTCTTTATCTGCCGGCCGTTAGTGGAAATTTTTTTTATTCACCTGCAAACTGCAACCTGCCTGCAGCTTGCAGGCAGTTTACCATGCATGATCAGCTCTGTTTTATAAATATCAGAAAAAGCTCCACGATTTTCCAGATCGATTTTCTATAAACTAGAAATTAATTCCAAATTACAGTGTAGGCCTCTAGCATTCAGATAGAGATGTACATATATCTCAGATACATTTCTATTGACATTTGCTTCACATTTGTCACGTTTTCTTTCTGGGTAGAAGAGAAAGAGGAAAGAAAACAGTTATAGTCTTGCATTGTGTTCTTCCAGTAACTGTTCTCTTTCCTCTTTTTGTTCTACACAGAAAGAAAACGTGACAAATGTGAAGCAAATATCAATAGACATATGTATATATGTATATCTCTATCTGAATGCTAGATGCCTAATAGTACCCGTTGTTTTCTTAATAACAAGGTAACGCTCGTCTCCACTCGCTCGGTCCCTTGACTTTATTAAGTTGGATCTGCGCAAGCGAACGTCCTTTCGTGACTTTTAAGTCGAACACAATGCTCACGCCTCCCTTCGTTCGGCACTCGCTGGGCGCCTAACTAAGGCATCTTCTGGATTTTTGTTCATTTTTTACGTATAAGGTTCGTAGTCTGATATTAATATATAAATGAAGAATCTCTAGAGGTCGAAACATAATTCTGAATTCAAAACAATGCTCACGCCTCCCTTCGGTCGGCGCTCGCTGGAAACCTACCTAAGACATCTTCTGGATTTTTCTCTGTTTTCATGTGTAAGGTTCGTAATCTAAAATTAATAGAGCAAAAATCTCAAAGGTCTAAAACTATTTCTGAATTCAAAACAATGCTCACGCTTCCCTTCTGTCGGCGTTCGCAACCAGTATAGATGAGAAACGCTCTGAACTTCCCTGATTCCACCAAAAAACCACAACCCAATAACACAAGACCCCACGTTGCAAAGTCGACCCGCGAAAAATTATTGAAGCTAACGAGGCTACCATTCTTCGTAAGATGGGCTACCATTCTCCATCCACCTTACTCTCCGGGCTTGGATCCTACTGACTATCACTTGTTTCGATCTCTCTCCAATCACCTGCGTGAGAAAAAGTTCGATGACGAAAACAACCGCAGAACGAACTTGGCTGACTTTTTCAGTCATAGGTTTCTGGACTTTTACGAACGCGGGATCTTTTCTCTACCAGAGCGTTGGCGGCAGGTCGTACATAGTGATGGAGCATATATCATTGAAAACTAGCTCGATGTTTGAAAGAAAAAAAATAAAAGAAAAATTTGAAAAAATGATAAAACTTTCTTGCCCACCTAATACCTGGGGAGGGGGGGGTACAGGCTAATTTTTTTCGAGTGGTAAAAATCTCTTTTTTCCACTACGATCCCCCCAAAAAAATTTATGGTTGCATCACTGTCACCGTTGATCATGTAAAATGTCGAGGTGAGATTTGAAACAAACATATAAGAATCTGTGATTAATCTAACTATCTATCGATATGTCTGAGATATGTCAAGTCAAACCATTCATAACTGTATTCTACCTATTACAGATATACTTCAAATTCATATAATCATTTACACTTGTTCCTAACGATAACAGTTCTGTCTTTTTCCCTCGCCCTTCTTATATTTAATACAAACATTCTGTAAAGTTGTAACTTGGGATCATTTGTCAACTGACAAGAGGGGTGTGGGTGAAAGAGTGAGTCAAGCTAGCTACGATTTAGATTTCAATTTTCATGAAGAATCTCATTAAATGACATTAACTCTGTCTGTATTCAGTCAAATGATATCGGAAATTGCAATCATAAAAAGAGACGCACTAAAATAAACAAAAAATACATGAAACTCTTGCTTGAATAACGAACAAAAGATAGTCTAATCTCGAGTGTTTAATTTAGAATAACATCTCCTTGTTTTACTGCTGCTGATCTGCCATCGATATCTCCATTTGGTGTTACAATAACGTCACCATTGCGTACTGCTTCACTTCTTTGGTCGACGGTTCCATCGGGTTTGAAAGCTAGATCTCCGCTTCGTACGTCACCAGAACGATAATCGACGCCTGATGCATGAACAGCAGATATGCCCATCTGCTCAGCGGTTGCAAGATATTCTCCGGAAGGTTTACTGCCTTTACTTGCATTTTGACGCGATTGTAAGATTTGCTGATTGTTTGGATGATTCATTTGGCCTCCTTTTTTTAAAGAACGAGAATGATCTACCTGCCAACCCATGTCGGAGTATTGACCATAACTGCCCTTATTTAAGGCATTGCCCATACGATCTTCGCGATAAAAATCAGGATTAGTCCCAGGGATTGTGTCTGCTTTCTCCCAAGCGGCATCTTTCTCTGATTCGGTAAACGCTTTGCGCTGACTATTTTCTGGTATATTACTTGGTTTCACCATGAGATCACCTTGGTTGATGCTTTTCGAGTTTGCACGTGGCTGACCATCTTGATTGAGGGTCACTTCGCCAGAGCGTACTGCAGCACAGCGACCATCGATATTTGCAGACTTGGTAAAAATGATGTCACCAGAGACTATTGCTGCCGAGCGACCATCAAAATATTCTTGAGCGGATTGATTTTCCATAACTATTAAAGAAAAAACAGGTAATTACAATAAATGTAGAGTAGAGACTAAGTGAATACAATGTACAAGTTTTGAGCACAAACTACGGTCATTTATAGATGCATAGTGGTAAGCAAATTCTTTTACTTGGTCTGCTCTGTGTTAAATCATATCAGTCATTTAAAACAAGTCTTGATCTATTGTCATGCAGAAGTGGTTAACCATAACTTCAGATTTGCGAGAGATCTTTCACATCTTGTAAAGTATGATACTTCAGGTATAGATAAGCTCTTTAGGCTCCTACTAAAACTTTTTGGAATTACTAACCATCTCTTCCTTCAGACATCTGAAGAGAGCTTATTGAATACTATATGTTAATCGCTACTTATATGAAAAAGATAAGTTGATTTTACCTACTGTCTTACGAGGGAAAGACACCAACTGATAAATCGCTTTTTAGCTCTAGTCCAGCTCACAATAGGTAATCGACTATGCTGATTCCGAATATGAAAACCGTTTGGGCCGCTAGGCTCTCTAAGACCCGGTTTTTAGAAAACCTTGGTACTTCAAGCCAAAAACGTTTTTTTTCTAAACGATTTTCTGATCTGTGGAGATGAAAGAGCATATGGAGAAACCTATAAAAAACATATTACATATTTTCAGAATTTTCCAAGGTCTTTGGAAAGAAT